GAACGTTAATTCAACGTCTGTTGGCTGCTGTTGAACCAATGTTTGTAAAACAACGTCAGAGCAACGTAGATATTAGGTTGTCGACGTCGCAACCTTTTTTCTACCAAATTTCAACGTTGAAACAACGTCGTGTGCCCGGTGGGAAAGTTCTAAATAGTCAATGAAATTTGCACTGTATTATCCAAGACTTCCTGCTTAACCAGACTGTGTCAGGTGGAACCAGGGTGAAATTTCGCCTTTTACCTTTGCAACGCTTGTGATGGCATTTCGCCTGAAATTCATGCTTGCCATGACACTTGTTCCCACCGTGTGCTGGTTCCGGGCGGGTACAACTTCGTACACGAGTTCTGACCCCAGAATCACACGTGACTGAACAAGAACTCCACTTGCCCCAAAGTGACCATCCGCCATGCACTAAAAAATTCAAACGTTTTGATGAGTTGTGAATTCAATTTTCCTCCCATTATGTCGTATTTGAAAAATATGATACGCTTGATATGCAAGCGCTATGACTTTCTCCTCAGTAAACACGGACATAAGTTCTTTGGAGGTTTGCATGGCGATAAAACATATAATAGTTTTGTTTGTGGAAACACCACGTAAATTTATTACTGCAAAGCTTTCGATCCGTAAGCCTGGATCTTCATCAGTGCTATTATTATTAGCACATATCGAAAGCTTTGCAGTAATAAATTTACGTGGTGTTTCCACAAACAAAAATATTAAACACCGACATATTTATTAATATTGTAGCCTGCGGCAGACTTGTAGCAATGCTGTTCCAACAACTTGTCAACAGGATGTGTTCGCACTGCTTGTTCCCAGCTTGTTGACAACTCGCTACAAGGTTGTTGAGCTCAACAGACTTGTTACAAGTTGTTCCAACAACTTGTTATCGTCCTACAATTCAACAATTTGTCAACAAGTTGTGAGTGACAAGCTTGTAGCAACTTGATAAAATAACAGCATTGTTACAACTTGTTGACAAGCTTGCCGCAAGCCTATTGCGAACACATCTTGTTGACATCAATTTTCCGCGCGTAATACAAAATGACTGAAAAACGGCAAACTTCGCAGGGCTATAATATCTGCATTTTACAACATTTCGCAACGAAACGTCGGAATATTATTAATTTTGTGATGCTCTTTCAAGCCGTGATGGAATTTGTGTCTAGGCTTGTCTAGATCAAAATTTTGTTCTTTAGGTAATAGGTCCATTGGCGGTAACTGTCGTGAACAAGTCATGATCATTGTTGTGAAACAGTCTATGGATATATCTTATCTTTTATCTGTAGTAAGCAAATCAGTCTTTATTGATTGCGGATATATCAACACTCTTTGACATCTGCTATTACCAGACTTATTTTTTCCAACAGACCTGGACATGGCTTCATGTGACATTTTTTCCCATCTTCATTTTCCCCTTCACAATCCTGACCGCCATATTTTGGTTCAGGATCACTACAGTTTCTGCCACGTGACACAACACCACTACCACATGTGGTTGAACAGTCACTCCAAGTACCCCACGTTGACCAACCTCCATTGACTGGGAGAAAGAAAGGACAGAAGTTTGAAAAATATATGGTAGATTGATAGATAGGTATGTCAGGTAGTTAGAGAAGTACAATTTTTGAAGTACAGCATGTTCTGCCTGGACTAATGGTTGCACATTCATGTGCTGTGCTGTGCTGTTCGTTTGTTAGTAGCTACAATGGTTATTTACCTTTACAAGGTGACATATCACATTGTGTTTTGTATTGACTGTTTCCCTCGCATTCTTTCCCGCCATGTTCTGCCATGGGATTGTTACACATTCTAGTACTGTACTTCACTCCGGCACCGCAGCTTACTGAGCATGCGCCGAAATCAGACCAGGCTGACCAGCCACCATCAACTTTGCATCGTACCACCATGCACTCTTTCGTCATGGTATTGGTGCCATGGCAATCATCACCACCATGTTTTGGCGCGGGGTTAGAACATTTCCTAGAACCCATCTGTGAACCAGCATTGCATGTTGTTGAACATGAAGTCCAGGAAGACCACGTTGACCAACCTCCGTTGACTGAAAAGAGAGACATGGTGATCAGTTAGATAACGGTACGAATGATAGATGGTTGTTAACTCTGGTTTACACTATAAAAGTTTCTGTGATCACAGTAGGAATTTTTCATCGGCAAATTCTAAGTTTTGAAGGATTTGTAAGAAATGTTTGATAGAACTCACTCAGTGCTAAACACTGTTCCAGAAATATTGGAATATTTTACTGGTTTGCCCACCTTTGGCGAACGTGACTAGGAAACACTGATTTCTGGTTTGTCTGGCCAGATAACAATATGTTTCCTGGTTTGCCTGCCTTAGGAAGACATGGCTAGGGAACGATATTTTCAGGTTTTCCCAGGACTTACAAAAGGTGAATAGGTGATGAGAAAATTAAGCGTGATATATAAAACGTTAAAAAGCGGTAGAGCCGTCAAAACTGCATTATGTCTTACTTGGACAAGGCCCAGCATTAGTGTTACATCTTCTGCTTAACTTGCTACTTCCTTTGCACGTCTTCCCACCATGCCTCGGTGGCCTGCATTTCCGCACACGTGACTGCGTCCCTCCTGGATAACATGACTTTGTGCACTCTGACCATCGCGACCACACAGTCCATACACCGTTCACTAGAAATATTTTTAAAAAATTCTAAACTATTCTTCCTCAATTGAGGTCCAGTAAGAATCATCCTGCACTGGTTGAGTAACTAACTTACTGGATAGCTCTCTCAGTTCTAAACTGTTCTCTCTAGAGGTCCAGTAAGGATCATCTCTCATTGATTTAGTGTTACTGCAGGAGGAAACCTAAACTAAACTAACTGTATTTATACTGGATACCTCTATCAGTTCTAAACTGTTTTTCCTAGAGTTACAGTAAAGATCATCTCTTATTGATCCAGTGTTACTACAGGAGGAAACCTAAACTAAACTAACTTTATCTATACTGGATTTTTGTAATTCCTTTTTACACGGCCCCTGTGCCGTAAATCAGCTTCGGTTGACAGGGTTAGTGTGGGTAAATAAAGTTTTCTATCTATCTTAAGCGACAAGTTACCTGGGCATGGAACATAACGTGAACAAGCCTTGATCTGTCTTGGTTTCCCTGGACAAGCTCCTTTGCATTTGCGAGTCCTAATCTTCACGTGTTTTCCGCATTTTCCAGATATTGGGACGCACTTCCAGGCAGACCAACCAGACCACACTATAGATGATCAAAAATATAAGTTAGCACTAACCAACTGTCCGACTCACTCACAGGACTTTATTGAGAAACAAATTAACCGTTGCTTACCACCACTTTCCTGCGCGTCCAGTCCTGGACAATATTTCCCATCATAACGAGGTGCGGGATTGGCACAATTCCGAACCCGAGTAGGTCGGACACAACCCTTACCCCGACATGGCTGCCACGGACCCCACGATGACCAACCGCCACTCACTACAACGAAAAATTGATATAAAAAGATCTCTATATATTGTAAAAGTGGGAACTATTAGCTTGATCTACACTGGATAGCTCTATCACTTGTAAACTGTTCTCCGTGGAGGCCCCTTATTGGTCAAGTGCTACTACAGGAGAAAACCTAAACCAAATTAAATTGGTAAGGGCCATCCCTTCACAGTACAGTGTTACATTGGGAGGAAATGAAATCTAAATGAAATCTATTTATACTAGATATAGCTCTATCAGTTGCAAACTATTCTCCCGGAGAGTTGAGAAAACACTCATGCAAACTCTCGCTTCTCAACTCTGATCAATTGTCGTTTGACCAGGGCTAATTCAGTCAGTAAGAATATAAACACATACCACTTTGAGCGACATGAATGCGTATCGACCGTTTCGCCGACACACCCTTGTCTGACGAAAATTCACACGTGATTCGTATGGTTGATTCTGATTGGCTGATGTCACGAATTTCCAGCGATCCATTTGGTAATTTGCGACAACGTTCTCCAGTTTTTCTTGAAATGTTTTTCCAGATAACCTCAACGGCGTCGGATGGTGTTGGTGAACATGTTAAGGTAGCTGTGCTACCTTCTTTTAGACGAACTTCGTTGGACGCCTTGTGCTTTAGACTCAGAGGTTCAATGCGGTCGAAATCTAGAAAATGCAAGAAGCTTGTAATAGCCTGCACAGCAGGAGCTCGCGGGCTGGATGCGAACGTCTGCTTTGCAGGTTAAATCTAAGTTTCCATATGGTCGAAATGGTCGTAAAGATAAAATGACGATCTTTCGTGACGGCCAGATTATGATATTTTTTCGTGTATTTTGATGTTTTGTACTCAGGTGAATATAATGTTTTTGATGTTACTCTGAGTGTATATCCACACCGGGCAGGCCTAACCACGGTGGGAAAAGAACCCGCGACCTTTGGGGTACTAGTCCAATGCTCTGCCAACTGAGCTACGAGGCCACAGTATAATATACTTGTTACCTGTAAACCACATATAAATCATAACTCCTCGTATTTTCAGTTCTATACTACTGATGTATTAGCCATTCCGAAGTTGATGAGAGGACTAGAGACGAGTGTTAGAAAGTGTCCAAATTAAGAAATGGACCAAATCACTAAAAAGACCACCTCAAAATTAGTAAGTATACAAAGTTGGAAGACGTTTACATGAATATCCTTCGAGTTATAAGCTTTCGAAATCGCGATATTTACTATGAAATGTATTGTAATTTTTGTTTTTTGGACGCGCGTTCCCAAAACAATCTTTTAATCAGTAATTTCACAATTTTCGAAAGCTTATTATTCGAAGGGTATTCATGTAAACGTCTTCAAACTTTCTATACTTACTCATTTTGAGGTGCTCTTTTTAGTGATTTGGTTCATTTCTTAATTTGGGCACTTTTTAACACTCGTCCCCAGTCCTCTCATCAATTTCGGAATGGCTAATTTCGGTTGATGAGAGAGATCGCGACTCAACCTTTACGACCATATGGAAAGGAGATCCATTGCACAAACGACTAAAGACAAAATGCAAACGATATGACTCCAGCTATATACAGTTCAGACCCACCTCTGAATTGAACATATCGCGTCTTACTAACAATGCCATTCTTAGCTGTGACGTCGCACTGATATATTCCAGTTCCAATGGGTTTAGTATTAACGAGTTGAACCCGACCTTCGTGTAATTTATACTGAATATCAGAGGCAAAACCATCTATTGGTACCCTGCCGACATCGTCTTTATTCAGCCCCCTTGAGTGAGAAAAAGTTATGTTAACAAGTGTCTGTTTCTACGGCGTGACTTGGGCGGAACAGGATGAGAGCCAGGACGACGTTGGTGACAGGCCCTTTATATAACATGAATCTCAGTCAAAACAATCAGTGACTGGATGGCATGGAGAACAGTGAGATTTTCAAAACAATGAAAAGACAATGGAACATTCTGATTACTTGATCATGACTGGATGGCATGGAGAACAGCGGAATTTTCAAAACAATGAAGAGACAATGGAACATTCTGATCGCTTGATCATGACTGGATGGCATGGAGAACAGTGAGATTTTCAAAACAATGAAAAGTCAATGGAACATTCTGATTACTTGATCATGACTGGATGGCATGGAGAACAGTGAGATTTTCAAAACAATGAAAAGTCAATGGAACATTCTGATTACTTGATCATGACTGGATGGCATGGAGAACAGTGAGATTTTCAAAACAATGAAAAGTCAATGGAACATTCTGATTACTTGATCATGACTGGATGGCATGGAGAACAGCGGAATTTTCAAAACAATGAAGAGACAATGGAACATTCTGATCGCTTGATCATGACTGGATGGCATGGAGAACAGTGGGATTTTCAAAACAATGAAAAGACAATGGAACATTCTGATCACTGGATCATGACTGGATGGCATAAAGAACAGTGAGATTTTCAAAACAATGAAAAGACAATGGAACATTCTGATCACTTGATCATGACTGGATGGCATGGAGAACAGTGGGATTTTCAAAACAATGAAAAGACAATGGAACATTCTGATCGCTTGATCATGACTGGATGGCATGGAGAACAGTGGGATTTTCAAAACAATGACAAGACAATGGAACATTCTGATCACTTGATCATGACTGGATGGCATGGAGAACAGTGGGATTTTCAAAACAATGAAAAGACAATGAAACATTCTGATCGCTTGATCATGACTGGATGGCATGGAGAACAGTGGGATTTTCAAAACAATGAAAAGACAATGGAACATTCTGATCACTTGATCATGACTGGATGGCATGGAGAACAGTGGGATTTTCAAAACAATGAAAAGACAATGGAACATTCTGATTACTGGATCATGACTGGATGGCATGGAGAACAGTGGGATTTTCAAAACAATGAAAAGACAATGGAACATTCTGATCGCTTGATCATGACTGGATGGCATGGAGAACAGTGGGATTTTCAAAACAATGAAAAGACAATGAAACATTCTGATCACTTGATCATGATTGGATGGCATGGAGAACAGTGGGATTTTCAAAACAATCAAGAAGATATAACGTATGGTTACTCACGGGTTTCTCATGGCAATGCCATTATAGTACCACATGATATCATTCGCTTCTTCCTTTTTGCCACAATTCATTGTAAGATTTGTTTCCAGGTACAGGATTTGAGGCGGGAGACTGGTTTGAGAGAATGATCTAGCTTTGTTTTTTACAGCTCGTGCCTTAACTGATCTACCTAAGAAAATAAAGCTTACTGTTATAAATTAATAAAGTAAAAAACAAATTCCGAAAAGACAAGACATATTGAGAATACAACATATGATTGAAAACAAGACGCGAGTTGAGACTGTAAATTTTCGACTTTACTTCAAAGTCGTCTTCAAACAGAATGAATACGTTAATTCGCATCCGATCTTTATCTGATTTGCAAACTCTCTCCTTCGGCTCAAGTTTGCATATATCAGATAAAGATCGTCTGCTCATGTTTTAACCAGTACTAAACGTTTACCTATAATTTTAACTTGAATAGGCCGACTGAGAACAGTGCCCCAAGCATTGCTTGCCAAACAACGATATTCCCCTTGATGTTTTTTGTACAATGGTACAGGAATTGTAAGAATACCGCCTTTGGCCACAAAATCAGATAAAGCTGTTACGTAACGTAATTCCCTTCCATTAAGGTACCATGAATAAGTGGGCTGGGGTCGTCCTTTGGCCTTGCACTGGAGTGTGAGCGGCTTGCCACAACAGACTGCATTTGAACCAGTTAGATCTTTACTCACGTCCACAATTTTAGGTTCAGAAACTGGGAAAAAATAAAATATGAACAGTTAAATCAAAGAAATGAAGCTTAATAATGTACTATATTTATACTAGATAAACCCTGCCAGTTCCAAGTTTTTTTCCTTAAACAATCACTAAAGGTCATGTCATATTGATCTAGTAAGGATCATCCAGGAGGAAACCTAAACTAAACTAACTTTATTTATACTGGATAACTCTATCAGTTCTAAACCGTTCTCCCTAGAGGTCCAGTAAGTCTGTAAGGATCATCTCTAATTGATCTGGTGTTACTACAGAAAGAAACCTAAACTAAACCAACTTTATTTATACTGGATAGCTCTATCAGTTCTAAACTGTTCTACTTAGAGGTCCAGTAAGGCTCATCTCTGATTGATCCAGTGTTACTACAGGAGGAAACCTAAACTAAACTAACTTTATTTATACTGGATAGCTTTATCAGTTCTAAACTGTTCTACTTAGAGGTCCAGTAAGGCTCATCTCTGATTGATCCAGTGTTACTACACTACATGAGGAAATCTAAACGAAGACAACTCGATTAGTTCTAAACTATTCTATGTTGAAGAGCAGCAAGGGTCATCTTTGTTCTAGTGTTCTAGTGTTACTCAGTACAGAAATACCCCGGCCCCCAAAACCTGCATTGTTTGGTAGAGTCCACTTTAAAACACTCTTCTGATATGCGACGAAAATAAGAAATGAAAGCAAGAAACTTCACAAACCTTTTGGTTTCTTCAACGTCCTCCGGGCAGGCTCGCCGAGACCATGCGTATTTCCTGCATACAGTTCCAACTTGTATTTATGTCCCCAGTCCAACTTATCAAGAAGCACTTTATGAACTCCGCCCTTGTTTTCCACAGCTACAGACCGCCATTCTCCTTGAGGAGTGGTCACGTCTGTATATCTGAGAAGGTAGTACAATACTTTGCCACCGGGTGGGTCTTTGACTCCTTTGAACTTCAGGGAGTATTTTTGGTTGAAGCTTGGGACCTTTGGGTCTGTAAGAATCTTAGGTTTGCCTGGAACTTTACCTAAATAAGGAAGATATTTTCTTCATTCAATTTTGTGCACACGAGGCAATGCTGTGAAGTTAAGGCTGGCAATAGACAAGTAAATGAAAGTCTCTGCAACTATGCTTTGATTGAAGAAATTTTGATAGTGTAAAAAGAATCATGTTGGTACTGTGATGCCTACTTGTGCTAATATACGGATTTAAATTTTAAAATACCTTTTGGTCCAGGCTGGTAATTATCATCTACAAAAAAACAAAAAAGTGAAATTAGAAAAATTTAATCGTATTGCGCTATACACATATTTTAATTCAAATATGTAGGAATTCATCAAACTTTTTTTTAATTTGTAAACTTTCTGGCCACACTCTGTAATCATTAACTTTTATATTCTAAACTTTTTCTTACCAACATATTGGCACCATTGGCCAGTGTAGTCAGAACGACAGAAACATTTCATGGTCAGTAAGTGTTTCGAAGCTTCGTCTGAGGAACGGCCACAGACACCTCGATCGCCGCATGGTTTCAATTTATTACAAAGCTTTTGGTCAGCCAGAAAAACGTCCACAACACATAGAAAACTCAAGACCAAGAAATATTTGTAAGTCATTTGAAGTTTTTAAGTTGCGTCCATTATTGCTACATGCGACCTCATTAGGAGGAAGGTAATTAGAACTAATTTGTGACGTCGTTTAATTACGCTAATTACTTACAAATTAGAATGTAATTAACGAATGTAAGTAATTGGACAAAAAATGTTTGGCGGAAGAAAGGTTATGGTACATTTCCCTATTTTTGTTGTAATATTTGAAATCTGACTATGAGGACTAAACTAGATTTCAAGTCCGCGTAATTTGATCAAGTCCGAGGCAAAGCCGAGCATTAGATCAAAATGCGAGCACTTGAATTCTAGTCCAGTCTGAATTGGAGGATTTGAAATGACATCTCATACGAATAAATCACTACTTAATTAATAATTCATTAGCAAATTAGCGAATGAACTCACCCTAATTCGTCACATGATTGAGGTTGGATACCGCAAGGAAACACGCTAAAAATCATATACCATCACTGTTGTTAGATGAAAAACGGTTTTCATCTAATAACTGAGATCCTAATTACAAATTCAAGTCAAAACACAACAATATACTATAATAATATATATAAGCCAATGAAATGTTTTCGTTTGAGATGTTGTGTAAACAACTCGTTTCTCGTGTTTCATCAGGGGACCAAACACTCGAAAACAATAAAACACTCGCGCTTCGCGCTCGTGTTTCATACAGTTTTCTCGTGTTTGGATCCCCTGATGAAACACTCAAACTCGTTGTTTACATATAACATCACTACTTAAAGTGAGGTGAGTTAATTTTGATCTAGTCCTAGGACTGGATATCCAGTATTATCATGTGGGCAAAATAAAGCAAATGGTTGGCTAATTTACTCATGATTTAAATATCAATCAATTAACAATGAGTTATAATGGTCATTCACTGGACCACCACGTTTGAGGTATCTTTTTCAGGTAGTTCAGACACAAACCACGACAGGTTAGAATATCTTTTTCAGATAGTTCAGACACAAACCACGACAGGTTAGAATATCTTTTTCAGATAGTTCAGACACAAACCACGACAGGTTAGAATATCTTTTTCAGGTAGTTCAGACACAAACCACGACAGGTTAGAATATCTTTTTCAGGTAGTTCAGACACAAACCACGACAGGTTAGAATATCTTTTTCAGATAGTTCAGACACAAACCACGACAGGTTAGAATATCTTTTTCAGGTAGTTCAGACACAAACCACGACAGGTTAGAATATCTTTTTCAGATAGTTCAGACACAAACCACGACAGGTTAGAATATCTTTTTCAGATAGTTCAGACACAAACCACGACAGGTTAGAATATCTTTTTCAGATAGTTCAGACACAAACCACGACAGGTTAGAATATCTTTTTCAGATAGTTCAGACACAAACCACGACAGGTTAGAATATCTTTTTCAGGTAGTTCAGACACAAACCACGACAGGTTAGAATATCTTTTTCAGGTAGTTCAGACACAAACCACGACAGGTTAGAATATCTTTTTCAGATAGTTCAGACACAAACCACGACAGGTTAGAATATCTTTTTCAGGTAGTTCAGACACAAACCACGACAGGTTAGAATACTACCTACACTGGACCAGCACAATCCTGTCTTACCTTTCAAGATCGTAGTTGGTGATGACGAAGAAATACAAATTGTGTTTATGTCCAAATATATTTGTAATCTCGTATATAATTTATCAACTGCTCAACACCAAACATAATCAGGAATTTAATCTTGTTTCCCTGTATAGAACGCAAAATATTACACCACTCTATATTGTTACGTTTTCCAAGCTATTATCGACTCCCTTTATTTACGTTTGTCTTGATTTGCAGCTGTGCCATTGAAGGTTTTTGAATGGAGCGATTTCTTGACATTACATATTACAGAAGAATTTGTTTGGTGGTATCACAGATTTACGAAGCTGCCACCAACCAAATACAGAAATACTGTGCTTTACCAGACAGAGGTCAAAGTACTATAGGCAATAGGTCATCGTGAACCAATGCTGTGAAGCGTCTATATTATGTAGGTTTAGCTGTAGACGTATTGATGAAAGGGTTTTACTGCTGGGAATTTCCCTTTAAACTCGCGACAAAACCAGCACGTTCAGCAGTGTTAAATTTCAAACATTTCAGCATATTTATTTTACGAATTATGTTTTATTGCATTGAATAGAATATACAAATTTCCCTGGAATCTAGGATTCCATCAATCTTCGGTTTTCTTTGTTTCACTATAAAAAAAAGTGAAATCACGTTTAAACAAATGAAATAGCAAGCATTGTATAAGCCATGTATTATATGATCAAAGTGTGTGACAGATTTTGGAGACCTGCTAAGTTCAACTTTTCTCTTCAAATGCACGGGAAGAGTGTTTCCAGTTTAACTCTACCAAACACGGCAGGTCTTCCCAGGGTCTAACCAGTAAATAAGGTTAGTGTAGTTTAGGTTTCCTCCTGTAGTAACATTGAACTTTATAACGAACGCCTCATACTGGATCTCTGGAGGTGAACAATTTACAACTGTTACAGATATCCAGTAAAATATAATATTCATTTATAGTTTTTACTTAGCAACTTTTTCGAAGTATTTAATATTTTAGTCCAGACACAAAGCAAGTTATTTTGTACCTTTTTGATTTAATCTTTTGTATCATCACGTTCTTCGTATTGACCTGGTCATCACCAGTCTCCATTAAGATCGCGTTCTCAAACCCGATCAATCCTCCATCCTCAGATCCCATCATGCTCTTGGACTCTACTGAGGGTCCAGATGGGACTGTAGGTGACTCAGATAGTCTTTTAGGAACAAATAAAGAACTCGAATCTTGTTTGACTACATCTTGTTCATCATTATCCGTAGCGTTCCCAACCTTCGGAAGATCAATTTTAACACCATTTGGGGATCCTTCAGGAACAGTGGAGGATGCCATCTTATGTACCTGTGCATCCCTCACTTTCCCGCTTTCCGATACGGCTTTTTCAATAGTATAAACATCACTTGAGGTGGAACCTTTAGGAGTAAATGATGACACAAGGGGATTACTTGGAACATTAGGTGATCCAGAATCTTTTGCGGTCTTGTGTACTGGCATATCCTTCGCCTTCCCACGTTCCAATGCGGTCTCATCAAGTCTAACTGTACCGTCTTTAGGGATCTCTTTCTTAGAGTCAGGTGATAGTCTTGTCTTCCCCCCCGGGTGTCGCTTGGCTCGAGTAGGTCGTTGAGATGTTGGTAAGGGGGGTAGGGGAGGCGGTAAACGTCCAAGTTTAGAGAAAACGTCTGAGGTATCTGACGTAACACTACTGCGTTTGGTCGAAGGAAGCTCAGAGCTGTCTGGAGCGGTGCTTCCACGCTTATTTTTCACACTTGATCTCGGTTCAACTGGCTGAGTTTTGACTTTGGTCAATGGCATGTAGTCCTTGTTTTGTGATCTCAGGCTGAAAGATAAATAAACACATTTTTATGGCATGAAGTTTTACATCCGAAAATTGAGTGCGGTTATAGACCTTTCCCCTTATGAGTGTGATATTTTGATCTAGATATGCCTAGACAAAAATTTCATCACAGCTTGAAAGAGCATCACAAAATTAGTAATGATTCCGAAGTTTCGTTGCGAAATGTTGTAAAATGCGGATAATATAGCCTTGCGAAGTTTGCCGTTTTTCAGTCATTTTGTATTACAAACGGGAAATTGATAATCAGTTTGATCATCTGATTTGCATGATAGTCAATTGCAGAAAATCAGATGGTAACTTTACCAGCTTATTCTGCCTAATACCAGACAAGATTTGTTGACAAAAATGAAATCTCAACTTACTACCAAGCTCTGTAGCCACAGAACAGTATTCCCAGGAAAACAAGGCCGCCAATTGCTCCGGCAAGTGTGTAGATCATAGCATTACTGCTGGAGCCGCTGTTCTTTTTCGCCGATTTCACGTCTTCTTTACCTTTGGTATCTGCGAGTTATATTACCATAATAACTTCTTTGTTAGTTTGCATGGCGATAGATCCGGGCTTACGGATCGAAAGCTTTGCAGTAATAAATTTACGTGGTGTTTCCACAAACCATACACAAACAAAGCTATTATACAGGGTGTATCAAAAAAAACTGAACAGATTTGAAATTGCTCTCAATTTCGCAAAACACCTATTTGTATCCGTTTTTTTATATATATAGCTTCTTTGGGTACTTATAATGTAGAATAATGAAAAAAAATTCTCAAACTCAAATTTTGTGGACCAGGGGTGTGTGTCTTTTCCAACAAACTAAAAATGACTCGCGCACAAAATTTAAAAGATGTAATCATAGTTTGAGTTTATAGATGGAAACCTTGTCGGGGTTTTAATTACTGTACAAAATTTCAGACAATTTGGTTTAGTTTAAGCCCTTTAACTATTTATTTTATTCTAAAAAATCAGCTTTTCGCATGTTTAATTAATGCCTTTACCTAATTTGCATATTGCTGACATATGCAAATTAGGCAAATGCATTAATTAAGCATGCGAAAAGCTGATTTTTAGGAAAAATGTAACTTTGCGTGAATAGTTAAAGGGCTTAAACTAAATCAAATTGTCTGAAATTTTGTACAGTAATTACAAACCCGACAGATTTCCCATCTATTAACTCAAAATATGATTACAACTTTTAAATTTTGTGCGCGAGCCATTTTTAGTTTGTTGGAAAAGACACACCCCCCCTGGTTCACAAAATTAGAGTTCAAGAATTTTTTTTCATTATTCTACATTATAAGTACCCAAAGAAGCTATATATATAAAAAACCGGATACAAATAGGTGTTTTGCGAAATTGAGAGCAATTTCAAATCTGTTCAGTTTTTTCTGATACACCCTGTATAGGCTATTACCATTCTTTAATATCCTGGTTATTTTAATGTTGCCTGGTTACCAGGACTTCCTGGTTGAATGAGCCAGACTATATTAGGTAGACCAGGGCCCTTGGTTATTTATACAGAAATACCAAAGTGAGAAAATTTTAAAAATTGGCCTTTTACCTTTGCAACCCTTGTGATGGCATTTCGTCTGAACTTCATGTTTTCCGTGACACTTGTTCCCACCGTGTGCTGGTTCCGGGCGGGTACAACTTCGTACACGAGTTCTGGTCCCAGAATCACACGTGACTGAACAAGAACTCCACTTGCCCCAAAGTGACCATCCGCCATGCACTAAAAAATTCAAAATTGATGAGTTGTAGAATACTGTCAACCCCAGGGCCAACGTGGTTGTTTGTTCGTTCGTAGCTACAATGGTTATTTACCTTTACAAGGTGGCATATCACATTGTGTTCTGTATTCACTGTTTCCTTCGCATTCTTTCCCGCCATGTTCTGCCCTGGGATTGTTACAGATTCTAGTTCTGTACTTCACTCCAGTACCGCAGCTTACTGAGCATGCGCCGAAATCAGACCAGCACGACCAGCCACCATCAACTTTGCACGGTACCATCATGCACTCTTTCATCATGGTACTGTTCCCCTGGCAATCATTACCACCATGTTTTGGCACGGGGTCAGTACAGCCCCTAGCACGCCACTGTACACCAGCATTACAAGTAGTTGAACATGGAGTCCAGGGAGACCACACTGACCAACCACCGTTGACTGTCAGAAAGAAAGGATAGATGTTTTATAAACATATATACCACGTAGACAGACAGTCAGACAGGCAGGTAAGTAAGTAGATAGAGAGTTTGGTAGGTCAGGCAGTTAATGATATGGACTGTTTCTCACCCATTCGTTTCCATCATGTTTTGCTCTGGTATTGCTATACATTTGTGTACTTAGTAAGCTAAGTTTGTTTGTTCGATTGTTTATTCGTTAGTAGCTACCCTGTCTTTATTTATAAATTCAATATAAATTATTACAAATAGATTATAATAGTTAAACATGGCAGAAAAATAAGAGGACACGAAATCTCTTTCGAATGGTTATTTACCTTTACAGGGTGGCATATCACATTTTGTTCTGTATTGACTGTTTCCCTCGCATTCTTTCCCACCATGTTCTGCCATGGGATTGTTACACATTCTAGTTTTGTATTTCACTCCAGTGCCACAGCTTACAGAGCATGCGCCGAAATCAGACCAGGCTGACCAGCCACCATCAACTTTGCATGGTACCACCATGCACTTTTTCGTCATGGTGTTGGTCCCCTTGCAATCCTTACCACCATGTTTTGGCACGGGGTTAGAACAGTTCCTAGAACGCATCTGTGAACCAGCATTGCATGTTGTTGAACATGAAGTCCAGGAAGACCAAGTGGACCAACCTCCGTTGACTGCGAGAAAAAGGAATAGAAGTTTAATAAACATATATGGTAAGTAGATAGAGAGTTTGGTAGGTCAGGTAGTTAATAATATGGACTGTTTTTCACACATTCGTTTGCACCATGTTTTGCTCTGGGATTGCTACACATTTGTGTACTTAGTTAGTTAGTAAGTTTGTTTGTTTGTTTGTTTGTTTGTTTGTTTGTTTGTTTGTTTGTTTGTTTGTTTGTTTGTTTGTTTGTTTGTTTGTTTGTTTGTTTGTTTGTTTGTTTGTTTGTTTGTTTGTTTGTTTGTTTGTTTGTTTGTTTGTTTGTTTGTTTGTTTGTTTGTTTGTTTGTTTGTTTGTTTGTTTGTTTGTTTGTTTGTTTGTTTGTTTGTTTGTTTGTTTGTTTGTTTGTTTGTTTGTTTGTTTGTTTGTTTGTTTGTTTGTTTGTTTGTTTGTTTGTTTGTTTGTTTGTTCGTTCGTTAGAAGCTACACTGTTTTTATTTATTAATTTATAAATACAATTTTTATGATTACAAATAGATTATAATAGTTATACATGGCAGAAAAACAAGAGGACACGAAGTCCCTTTCGAATGGTTATTTACCTTTACAAGGTGGCATATCACATTTTGTTTTTTTCTGACTGTTTCCATCGCATTCTTTCCCGCCATGTTTTGCCTTGGGATTGTCACACATCCTCGTACTGTACTTCACTCCAGTACCACAGCTTACTGAGCATGCGCCGAAATCAGACCAGGCTGACCAGCCACCATCAACTTTACATGATACCATCATGCACTTTTTCGTCATGGTATTGGTCCCATGGCAATCCTTACCACCATGTTTTGGCGCGGGGTTAGAACATTTCCTAGAACGCATCTGTGAACCAGCATTGCATGTTGTTGAACATGAACTCCAGGAAGACCAAGTGGACCAACCTCCGTTGACTGCGAGAAAAAGGAATAGAAGTTTAATAAACATATATACAAGGTAGACAGGCAGGCACCTAGGTTGGTAGGTAAGTAGATAGTTTGGTAGGTCAGGTAGTTAATAATATGGATTGCTTTTCACACATTCGTTTGCACCATGTTTTGCTCTGGGATTGCTACACATTTGTGTACTGTACTTAGTTGATACGTTTGTTTGTTCATTCGTTAGAAGCTACACTGTCTTTATTTATTAATTTATAAATTCAGTATAAATTATTACAAATAGATTATAATAGTTATACATGGCAGAAAAACAAGAGGACACGAAGTTCCTTTCGAGTGATTATTTACCTTTACAAGGTGGCATATCACATTTTGTTTTTTTCTGACTGTTTCCCTCGCATTCTTTCCCGCCATGTTCTGCCTTGGGATTGTTGCACATCCTCGTACTGTACTTTACTCCAGTACCACAGCTTACTGAGCATGCGCCGAAATCAGACCAGGCTGACCAGCCACCATCAACTTTGCATGGTACCATCATGCACTTTTTCTTCACGGTATTAGTTCCCTTGCAATCCTTACCACCATGTTTTGGCACGGGGTTAGAACATTTCCTAGAACGCATCTGTAAACCAGCATTACATGTTGTTGAACATGAACTCCAGGAAGACCACGTTGACCAACCTCCGTTGACTGCAAAGAGAGACATGGTGATCAGCTACATACGTAAAATTCTCGCAACTTGTCAACAAAACGTGTTTGCAACATGAAAAATCTGTCAAGGCGGACCCCCAGAAACGGTCAGTGCCTTCGCATACATAGCTACGCTAAGTATGTGACGAGGAATTGGCAGACGCCATGGCATTTGCCTTAAATCACAAAAGTAAACCCACTTAATTATTAACGTTTACCTAGAATTTCAACTTGAACAGGTCGACTGCGAACACTGCCCCGAACATTCCTTGCCACACAATGATATTTCCCTTCATGTTTTTTGTACGATGGTTTAGATATTGTAAGAGTACCGTCAGTTACACGAGGGAGTGCTTTTCCGTTAAGGTGCCATGAATAGGTGGGCTGGGGTCGTCCTTTGGCCTTGCACTGGAGTGTGATCGGCTTGCCACAGCAGACTGCATTTGAACCAGTTAGATCTTTACTCACGTCCACAATTTTAGGTTTAGAAACTGGGGTAAAAATATGAACAGTTAAATGAATGAAATGAAGCGTAAAAATGTATAAGATAGGCCATGTCAGTTCCATGTTTTTCACATTCCCTCAAGGTCATCTCATATTGATCCAGTGTTACTACAGGAGGAAACCTAAACTAACTTTATTTATACTGGATAGCTCTATCAGTTCTAAACTGTTCTTCCTAGAGGTCCAGTAAGGATCATCTCTTATTGATCCAGTGTTACTACAGGAGGAAACCTAAACTAAATTAACTTTATTTATACTGGATAGGAGGAAACCTAAACTAAAACAACTCTATCAGTTCTAAACTGTTCTATCAAGAGGTGCAGACGTGCAGTAAGGATCATTATTCATTGTTCTAGTGTTACAGACAAACACTCTTCTGACATGCGCTGAGAAGAAAATAAGAAATGAAAGAAATGAAAGCAGAAAACTTCACAAACCTTTTGGTCTCTTCAATGTCCTCTTGTCAGGCTCGCCAAGACCATGTGTATTTCCTGCATAGAGTTCCAACTTGTATTTATGTCCCCAGTCCAACTTATCAAGAAGCAGTTTATGAACTCCGCCCTTGTTTTCCACAGCTACAGACCGCCATTCTCCTTGAGGAGTGGTCACGTCTGTATATCTGAGAAGGTAGTACAATACTTTGCCACCAGGTGGGTCTTTGACTCCTTTGAACTTCAAGGTGTATTTTTTCTTGTAGTTTGGGACCTTTGTGTCTGTAAGAATCTTAGGTTTGCCTGGAACTTTACCTAAATAAGGAAGAGTTTGACATTCTCTTCATTCAATTTTGTGCACACGAGACAATGATGTGAAGTTAAGGCTGGCAATAGACCAACTGTGAACGTTTGGTTATACCCAACTCACAATTTTAGAGATCTCGCACGCCTTGTTACTGTCATAGTTTACAGAGGCATGGAATAGAATAGAACAAAGGTAACTAGGATTTAAGATTATGTACAGGAGTGTAGAAAGAGTTATGTTTGTGATGTAATATACCTTTTGGTCCACGCTGGTACTTGCCATCTGAAGAAAAAATAACAATGCAATATTAGAAAACTTGATTGTAGAGACTTGTTTATCGTAATTTGAGATGTTGGACATTAACGCTTGTATTCTAAAAGCTCACTCACACTCGAAGAGTGGAGGTTCAATCTGATCTTTCCTTGAGTGTCAGTGCTGTTTTTGAATAGCTGGAAAGTGAGTAGTCACATAGTACCACAATCTTTTAATGTAGTAATTAATAAAACTTGTAAACTTTCACCATACACTTTCACAAACAACGTTAAAATCATTAACTTTTATATTCTAAACTTTTTCTTACCAACATACTGGCACCATTGCCCAGTGTAGTTAGAACGACAGACACAATTGATGGTCAGTAAGTGTTTCGAAGCTTCGTCTGAGGAACGGTCACAGACACCTCGATCCCCGCATGGTTTCAATTTATTACAAAGCTTTTGGTCAGCCAGTAATACTTCCACAACACATAGAAAACTCAAGACCAAGAAACATTTGTAAGACATTTGAAATTTTTATGTTGCGTCCATTATTGCTAAGGTAATTAGAACTAACTTATGATGTCTTTTAATTACGCTAATTACCAATTAGAATGTAATTAACAAGACAAACGTAATTGGACAAAAATAAAATTTTTTTCGGAAATTTCATTTTTGTAATTTTGTACTCTTATTTCTACTCTTTTGGCGTCCCTTGATTTTTAGTTAATACAGCAGAGAAAACACAGAATGTACCATTTATTAAATTTACAGTTTCAATGAAAGAACAAGTATATATAACAAAATTTATTTCTGGTAGATTTCTTCTTTGGAAGAGTTGATGAAGTTTTGATGAAAGACAAACTAAAAAAGACATCAATGTGTTAGAACTGTCATAAAACCAGAATTATTCAGATCGAAGACAGCAAAATTACTATGTACAATAACCTTTAGCACAGCATATACTTACGTCATAGACATATTTAGGTCATGATATGACATCATCTTTTAGAACCGGGCGGAGGAGGAGGCGGTGGAGGTGGTGGAGGACCGACTCCCCTGACTGGAACTGGTGGTGGCGGAGGAACGATCCCCCCGGCAGGGGAAGCTGAAGCTATACCACCGCAGGGAGCCAATAGTGATGGTGAAGGAGGCGGAAGATTTCCGGGGGGAGTTTCTGGCGCCAGAGAGCTGGAACTTTCTTTCCCGGCTGACCGCTTCTTGGATTTCGAATTAGTTTTGTGTTTAAAACGTGCGATATTTTTAGGTTGCGTGCGTGTCGCCATGTTTTCCTGCTTTCCTGAAGGTGTTCGTTTCTTCGCCGGGGGCGTTTGTGTATCCGTCTCAAGGAGAGGCTGTCTTTCCACATCCGAATCTGCTTTATTGAAGAGATCTTGTAGCAAACGTTTGTGGTTGGATCTCTTTAAACATTTCCTACAGGAATAAACATTGTGTGTCATCTTCCCTATATGCAAAGTTTAAGAATAACTAAGTAATATTTTCCCGAACATCTAGCTCCAAAGTAATTGGCGAATTTCTATTGTCTAACAATGTTTAACTGACTTCATTTTACAAAGGAACGATAGATTGCACTATCCAGTTTCAATTTGAGATCAGCAACAAACACACTTACTTGCGACAGTTATGGATAGCCATGGATATGGCAAGAACAATTAAAAATATGGCACTACCAAAAGCGACTGTATTAGGAAGATACAGTATTCCTTTTGAATATATTTCGTTTGCCACGGACTCCTCCGAGGGTTGGCATGACTTCTGGCAATGTTTATGATCTTTGGACCTCCCTAAACACCGCTGTCCAGGACACTGTCGTCGACGCATGCGCGTTCCAATGCCACATGATTTTGAGCATTCACTCCACTTTGACCACTCGCCCCAGTTTTCTTGGGAGAAGAGAATATGTCATGCAGTGATGATACAGTTTAGTTAGGTTTAGGTTTCCTCCTGTAGTAACACTGGATCAAGAAGACCTGGTCCTCCTTACTGGACCTCTCCAATATAAGTCAGTAAAGGCTAGTTTTCACTCAGGAAAATTATCCGTGGATTGGAACGGACAAGAAAATTTTTCTTTGTGTTAGAGTCAGCAGTTCCAACCCAAAGCTCACAAGACAAAGAAAAATTTTCTTGTCCGTTCCAATCCACGGATAATTTTCCTGAGTGGAAACTACAATCTTGGACAAAACCCCTGAGACCATTCCAGCTAATATTACAAAGTTATTGAACATTGACGAAACAAACTTTGTCTCCCCCTCGCCCCAGTTCAATGTTGTGAACAACGCCGAAACAACTTTTGGTAATATACCATGATACAAGCTCAACATTGAGTTGGGGGAGCGGGGGTTTAAGAATGGCAACATGATTCAACATGGAGTTTTTCATAAAAATACGCGAATTTTCTATAGGGGGAAAATAGTCTCAACCAGTTAGGTCCAAGATTGTAGCCTCAACACTGACAACTAATGGGATAAGGCTTTCTGGATTTCTAGGAAACTGGAGTATAAATAAAGTTTGTGTAGTTTACCAGTATAGCAGACAGAGCCAACACATTTCTTCGCCTCATGCCACTCTCCCTCAGGACATGGACCCTGTGAGGGTGCTATACACATCCTGCCTCGAGACTGGGTCCCAGGACCACACGGGTTTGAACAGTGGGACCATTTCGACCATGGAGCCCAGAAACTGGTAGCTAGTGATTGAGAGAAATAAGATGGCGCTAGATGGTGCAATGTTATTATGGATTACGTTGTGTTATGCTTAGATTATTTCGTGGTTCCGCAATGTACCCCATATTGTAATTGGTAAAAATAGATCTCAAACTCATTAATAATTCATGAGTAAATTAGCCAACCATACTGCTTTATTTTGCTCACATGATAATAGTGGACACCTGATGAAGTATATTGATTCAATCCTAGGACTGGATCAAAATTAATTCACCTCACTCTAAGAAGTGATTTATTCGAATGAGATGTCATTTCAAACCTTCAAATTCGGACCAATTTCTCGCATTTTAATCTAGTTCTCGGAATTGAAATTTTACAACAAAAATAGGGAAAATATAGCTTACCTTTCTTCGGACAAGGTATAAAAGGACATTGTTGTTTTTGCTTATTGCTTCCACTGCAATATTCTCCATCAAGGGAAGAAGTTGGCTTTTTGCATGTCCTGCGCCGAGATGTGAATAAATTCTGGCCACAGAGCTCCTGCATATTTGGACAGTCTGACCAGGGGGACCAATGCGACCACTCCCATCTATCATCAATTGAGAACACTAAAGAAAATAATTTTCCTGCTAACACTGACGAAGATCTTTGCTCGACATGCCGAGAATTTTCATTTAACAGTTTAAAACTGTCAGAGCTATTCAGTATAAATAAAGTTAGTTTAGTTTAAAATCTTACTTGCACCATCGAATTCCAAGTCAAATTTTCTCTCGACTGAATAGGAGTAACCATGAGCCTTACAACTACATATATCATGTCTCCAGGCTGTTTCTCGTGTAATGGTGATGGTATTATTAACAATATTTGCGCCACAGAATGCTGAGAGTTCTAAACTGATGTCAGGCAAGGAGTACGTTGCAGGTGGGACGCAGTGAACGTGAATATCAGATCTTGCTGGAATAGTTTCTTCTTGTATATCATCGTCTTTAAAAACAGAAAAGAATTTACGTTTAAATTATAGCATTGAGATTTAAAACGATGTTGAGCAGTTTTTAAGGAGGTTACAGTGGTTACAGTAGATCATGGATAATAAAATAAATGGATAGGACTCTAGCTGACGTAAGCAAAAACAACCTAGTTGCAATCTGTGACGTCACGCGTATTGCAAAGTTCTCGGCATTCTTGTTGTTTCGCTATACTTTCCGCTTTAAAAGAGTAATATTGAAGCATATACTGGTCTAATTGTTTTAAAAACATGCCTAAGCCACGATAAAGTATTCAAGGTAAATGTTTTTCGTCTTTGTTTTGCATTTTTTTACATTTGTAGCTACGAAATTGGCGTCCCCAATTTTAACGAAATTTGGGATGCCTTTTTCACTGTTTAGTGCTTGAAATATTTGCTAAAATTGACTGGGAATACTTAGAGATTTCATCGTAGAATGGCGTAGTTATATTCATTTGCTCTTTGACTAAAATGTTTAGCTGTATTATTGCCAAACATGCCGTTTTTGAGAATTTGGTTTGCAACTAGGTTTCAACATCCAATCACGCCATCAGCCCATTGAAAACATTAGGTCACGTCAGCAAGTTTCCTATCCATTTATTTTATTATCCATGAGTAGACAAATATCTTTCACATCTGTAACTGGGGTTCAACTTCTGCAAGATACAGTTGTCAGATAGCAATTTTAACACCGTCACATGCGAGACGAGTGTTTCTACACACGTAAAAACGCACAAGTTGTAACAAAGCTGCAACAAACTTGTAGCAATGCTGTTCCAACAACTTGTCAACAGGATGTGTTCGCACTGCTTGTTCCCAGCTTGTTGACAACTTGCTGCAAGGTTGTTGAGCTCAACAGACTTGTTATACACATTGTTCCAACAACTTGTTATCGTCCTGCAATTCAACAACTTATCAACAAGTTGTGAGTGACAACCTTGTGGCAACTTGATAAAATGACAATATTGTTACAAGCTTGCTACAAGCCGGTTGCGAACACATCTTGTTGACAAGTTGTGAGATTTTTACGTGTGTAGTTGACTCTACCAAACACCGCACATTTCCTCTAGCTAATTTCCTCTTGAAACTTTGGTTCCTTCCTGTAGTAACACTGCATGGACCAATAAAGGAAATCATTACTGGACTTCTAAGGAGAATAGTTTAGAACTGATATAGAGCAATTCATTGATTATGTCTTCCTTCTACTTACCAATAAACTGGACAAAGACTGAAGCAGTATACGATATCGTTCCAAAAATAACATCAGCTTGAACGAAACCACTGTTTCTTGTCGTTAATCTAAAATGCTTGCTGTTAAGCTCCAGGTATGGTTTCCTGTATAAAAAAAACTTTTCTAGCATTTTATTTTTAACATACATTTATTAATTTAAAACGCTATTAACAGTGAACTAATTCTTGCAAGCAATGCTTACTTGTTAGTCAAACGCTTTCCATTAATATACCAAAAAGCAGGAATATCTGAGTAACGTGGACCAAGTTGGAGTGTTGATGAACTGTAGACAGAAATTTTTCTCGGTAGATTTTCATAAACATCTCCAGGTCTGTCCAAAACTACAAATAATCCAGAATGTTACTTCCAGTAAAAAGGTTTGCAACTCCTGGATCCCAGGGCATTGCTTATGCTAACAGACACAGACAATAATTTATTAGTTAGAGTATTAGTGAGCTCGACAGAAAACTTTGACCCCAAAAAGTTAGGATCCCAGGAACAAAAATATTATGCCCATGCAGAAACAGAAATATTATGTCCTGTTATGCAAGCCACGGCAGCCTATATTGTAGAATACTAGCCACACTGGACCACCACATTCATGTCTGCAGGTAGTATTCTACAATAAGCTACGTCTACAATAGTAATATACTGTCTGAAAAAGATATCTCAAGGTGGTCTAATGTAGGTAGTATTCTACAATAAGCTCCGTCGCTACAATATAGTAATATACTATCTGAAAAAGATATCTCAAGGTGGTCTAATGTAGGTAGTATTCTACAATAAGCTCCGTCGCTACAATATAGTAATATACTATCTGGAAAAGATATCTCAAGGTGGTCTAATGTAGGTAGTATTCTACAATAAGCTCCGTCGCTACAATATAGTAATATACTATCTGAAAAAGATATCTCAAGGTGGTCTAATGTAGGTAGTATTCTACAATAAGCTCCGTCGCTACAATATAGTAATATACTATCTGAAAAAGATATCTCAAGGTGGTCTAATGTAGGTAGTATTCTACAATAAGCTAAGAATGAGCAGCATATTGAAGTATTCTTACACTGGACCACCACATTCATGTCTGTCTTACCTTTCAAGATTGTAATAGTGGTGATGACGTCATTCTTGTAGTTCCCAAGCTCATTCAATTTAAACGCCTTACACGTGATTTTGCCAGAATCTGATTTCTGTACGTTGTCATATTTTAAAACACGACTAAAACTAGTCACTTTGATACCATTTGGAAATCGTTTGATCTTTCCCGTATCAATACCCCATTCGATTATTATGTTTCCTCTAGACAAAACAACATGGAATTAAATTGCTGGGTTTCAAGCAGAGCGTAACAGGGCAGTACAAGACTTTTGTAGATGGAAATTACGAGTGTGATTTTTACATTGTGATTGATACAGCGTGCCAAAATGGCGTCTGTTGTCACACTAATTATTGAACCAAATTGCCTAAATTCGTCCATAGGAAATACGCATCTCTAGTTAATATTGATGTCGGGACTCTACTGCAAATCGCCCAGCAAAAAACCGCCAAAACCATGAAAAATATATTAAAAAAAAAATTATTTCCGACCTACTGACCCTAATTGTTTCACGATATGAAACCGGAACCACAGGTAATTTTTTACGCCCTAACCAGGAGAAGTTGCGAAAAATGCAAGTATAGACTCTCTTGACAGAGTGGGTTAGGATAAACCATAGTTAATAGAAATAGACATGGTTAGGAAGGCCGGTAAACTTCAAAGGATTTCCTATTCAAACTTCAACTGATGTTGAAATGTAACTCCGAGTGCACACATCTTTTGTCTTGCGTTTATTAATATTCAAATACTACGGTTCAGCGATTGAAACTAAGGTTTTTATTGGGTAATCGCCTCATTGTCTGAGTGCACAAATTTCCTGATAAACTTGGACAAAAACATAGAACGACTTTTGTCAAGCTTCCAAACCATGTTTATTTTCTACTAACTATGGATAAACATAGTTAATTAAGAAATATCACATATCACAATTGTTGTAAAGATAAAATGGTAATCGTTCCATCTTTCGCGCACCAATATAGTAAACGTTATGTAATGAATATTATAGTGTACTGAAAAGTTGACTGAATACCTCCTACACGTATATACATACCCTAACCCTATCCCTAACCTTAAACCTAACCCTAACCCCTAACCCTAATACCTAACCCCTAACCCTAACTTATATTGGTGCGCGAAACATGGAACGATAACAGATAAAATAGTCTAAACTAAGTATACTTAGGTAAGCGTAATACTTCATGTAAAGCGCATTTGATCATATTTGCGCTATACAAATGTTAATTAATCGTAAGCGAACCTGCGATAGTCTGTTGCAGTGCTTTAACCAACTAAGGTAAAGACGTCCAGCTCGTGTTTGAACCTACCGTGGATTACTGATTGCTGAGCAATGTAACTCCAGATTTTCGCCACGCAGTAAAGTGATTGTCTCAGGAGGTTTATCCTGAAATACAAACCAGTGTCTGGCTTGCTTCCCGCTATCTTCTGTATTAACAAACAAATCTAAAATTAGTAACTCTTAGGGGCGGTTTATGTGGAGCTGGCCAGGTTAACAAGGTTTAGCCTCGCACTTACTTTTTACAGCAACTCTGAAAACATTAGACATCACTTTCTGAGCTATCCGTCCAGACATTGTTTTTTGCTCAATAATACATCGGATTCCTTTCTTATTGAAGAGATCAACATCCTCTTGTTTAAAAACACTGAATACAAGCGTTCCCTCGGTAGTTATCCACACTCGCTCGCTCGTTTTTATGTTGAAATCTTCGCTTGAGTTTTTGTAACGGTTTCCCCATTTGTAAAATGCACCAGGAATCACCCTAGGCATGTGAGGGTAGCATCTGAAAGTTGCTGGCTTTCCAATTTTCACATACATTGTGATTGGTCTCGACGTATGTGGGTCGAGTAAAATGGTGAATCTCACCCGTGCTAGAAGAAGTTAAAATACAGTGAATACAATAAGTTGCCGTGGTTAGTGTCTGAACTATCTGAAAAAGATATCTCAAGATGGTCCAGTGTAGGTAGTATTCTACAATAAACTGTCGTGGTTTGTGTCTGAACTACCTGAAAAAGATGTCTCAAACGTGGTGGTCCAGTGTAGGTAGTATTCTACAATAAACTGTCGTGGTTTGTGTCTGAACTACCTGAAAAAGATGTCTCAAACGTGGCGGTCCAGTGTAGGTAGTATTCTACAATAAACTGTCGTGGTTTGTGTCTGAACTATCTGAAAACAATATCTCAAGATGGTCCAGTGTAGATAGTATTCTACAATAAGCTGTCGTGGTTAGTGTCTGAACTATCTGAAAACGATATCTCAAGATGGTCCAATGTAGGTAGTATTCTACAATAAGCTGTCGTGGTTTGTATCTGAACTACTTGAAAAATATATCTCAAACGTGGTCCAGTCACTCCATGTAAGTAGTATATTCTACAACAAGCTGAGAATGAGGGTATGACGAAGACATAAACAGCATTAGCTTACTGTAAAATGTTAACAACATTGGACTCCTAGTAAGTAAAGTTAAAGAAACAGAAGAATGAAAAAGTTGTATACCTAAAACATTGACTTGAATACGACTGCTCATCACAGTTCCCCACGTGTTGTTAGCCACACATCTATAAACACCCTGTACTTCAGAGTTTGAACTATTCACGCGAAGACGTTCCTGTTGGATGAAGATATTTCCTTGAGAAATTGTTTTCCCATTCAGAGTCCAAGATACTGATGGACGTGGTTCACCGCGAACCTCGCAGCTCAGAAAGAACGGATCGTCTTCCACAACTGTAATCTCTTCTTTAGAGGGAACTATCTCAGGATATCCAACTAGAATACAAAACCAGTTAAAATTTTACCATATTCTAAACTGTTCTCCCCTGACTACCAGATTCCTTATTGGTACAGCAAACTACAGGAAACCTAAACGAACTTCACTCACACTGGACAGCTCTATCAGTTCTAAACTGTTCTTCCTAGAGGTCCAGTAAGGATCATCTCTTATTGATCCAGTGTTACTACATGTGGAAACCTAAATTAAACGACTTTATTTACACTGGATAGCTCTATCAGTTCTAAACTGTTCTTCCTAGAGGTCAAGTAAGGATCATCTCTTATTGATCCAGTGTTACTACAGGAGGAAACCTAAACTAAAATAACTTTATTTATACTGGATAGCTCTATCAGTTCTAAACTGTTCTTCCTAGAGGTCCAGTAAGGATCATCTCTTATTGATTCAGTGTTGCTACAGGAGGAAACCTAAACTAAACTAACTTTATTTATACTGGATAGCTCTATCAATTCTAAACTGTTCTTCCTAGAGGTCCAGTAAGGATCATCTCTTATTGATTCAGTGTTACTACAGGAGGAAACCTAAACTAAACTAACTTTATTTATACTGGATAGCTCTATCAATTCTAAACTGTTCTTCCTAGAGGTCCAGTAAGGATCATCTTTTATTGATCCAGTGTTACTACAAGAGGAAACCTAAACTAAACTAACTTTATTTATACTGGATAGCTGTATCAGTTCTAAACTGTTCTTCCTAGAGGTCCAATAAGGATCATCTCTTAATGATTCAGTGTTACTACAGGAGGAAACCTAAACTAGACTAACTTTATACTGGATAGCTCTATCAGTTCTAAATTGTTCTTCCTAGAAGTCCAGTCTGGAGCACCTGCAGTGTTTGGTAGAGTCAAATTGGAAGTACTCCTCTCACATACAACTATGCATCTTCACTACTATGCATCTTTATGCATCGTGCTTCCAATATCTCTACTTACTTTTCGGACCAGGAATAATTGCTGTAGCTGGTCTGCCAACACCTTGACTTGAGCCCGCGTAGATCTCGACCTCATACCTCACATCCCATTGAAGAGACTCCAATTCATGACTATATATGGTCTGCGTTTCTCTGGCAAATATTTCATTCACATTCGTCCATTTTGACTCTCCAACAATCCTGTACCGTAGAGCGTAATACAGTACTGGGGTGAGCGCAGTTTCGCTTGGTTTCTCCCAGGAAAGGATATACGAACGTTCATCGGTGGGGAGTTGAGAAAGGATTTTCGGCGAGCCTGCACGACCAATCAGTTGTTTTCTCGCCACAAAGTCAGCTTTAATTCCATCTTTTAGAAACACAGAATATTCATCATATTTATATCATATATCTTTATTCTCACAATTACAAATATATGCTCTTCCAAGGAGACGTGCATTTAACTAACATAAAATATATAAACATAGGAAAGAATTAAACTACTTATAAAAATATGTACAAATAATATGAGTTTACGAGATGAGACACATAAACTCAGATTACAGATATTTCACAGCACACTCCCTATCTGGGCTTTTCAGTGACTGGTTACATTATGAATAGATAGATAGAGTCGGACTGACGTGAAGCAGACCGAGGTAGACTTTGAGCTTACAAATGGCGCTTGAGCAGCTGCCGCTATTAGTCCATACCTCATTAATGATCTGCCTCCAGACCTATGTGCCTAACCCACCCTGTCAACTTTCCCTGTGGGAGGAAACACGGAGTACCCGGAGAAAACCCACGACTTTCGGCAGAGCGTTGACTTTTACTCTTTTCACATGAGGAGAGACTCAGAGACTGTGCACTGGATATTTGGACGGGCATGCCATCTGAATTTATTTATACATCATCATGTATTTGGACGGGCACTGAGTCATCGGAATTTGCTCTTGAAGATACATGAATTATCAACAAATATTGCGGCAGTGGTGAATTTAGAGAAGGGGGTG